GACTGATAGACCCGCCCTAAATGACTGATAGATCCACCCTAAATTACTGATAGACCCGCCCTAAATGACTGATAGATCCACCCTAAATGACTGATAGACCCGCCCTAAATGACTGATAGACCCACCCTAAATGACTGATAGATCCACCCTAAATGACTGATAGACCCACCCTAAATGACTGATAGCCCGACCTTAAATGACTGATAGACCCGCCCTAAATGACTGATAGATCCACCCTAAATGACTGATAGACCCACCCTAAATGACTGATAGCCCGACCTTAAATGACTGATAGACCTCTAGAGTTAATAATAATAGTAATAACAACAACAACAACAACAACATCAACAATAATAATAATAATAATAATACCTTACATGTATATAACACTTTTCTGGGCACTCAAAGCGCTTTACACAATGGGGGGAATCTCCTCATCCATCACCAGTGTGCAGCATCCGCCTGGATGACGTGATGGCTGCCATATTGCGTCAGACCGCACACCAGCTGATTGGTGGAGAGGAGACAGAGTGATGAAGACATTTATGCTATGGGGATGATTAGGAGGCCATGATGGACAGAGGCCAGTGTGCAAATTTGGCAAGGATACTCTTGTTCCAAGGACATCATCAAAATGGAGTCACAACTTCATCTTGACTTCTCATTCAGACTCATATAGAGTCCCCATCAATATACTGGGGCATTAGGAATATAGGTTGAACGCCCCCTGCTGGCCTCACAAACACCACTTCAGCAGCAAGGCCACGTGGTCACCCATCCAGGTACTGACCAGGCACAGCCCTGCTTAGCTTCAGTGGGCGACCATGTGAGAGTTGCAGAGACCTAGCAGCCGGGATGCTGCTGAGTGGGTGGCATGGTGGCTAAGTGGTTAGCATTGTTGCCTCATGGCAAGGTCATTGGTTCAAGTCCTGGCTAGACATGAAATATAGGTGAACTGGATAAACTAGATGTGTGTAAATTGGAGAGAGTGTGTGCATGTGTGTGTGTGTGTGTGTTTCCCAGCACAGTGTGCCTGGAAGGCTGCTGTATAAAACAAATTGCCAAGGTAATTACAGGTTCATTCCACCGTGGCGACTTCTAATAAACAGAGAATAAGCTGATGGAAAGCGAGCAATGCTCCTGAGCGATGTCTGCACTGTAAAAAATATCTGTTCGTGAACAGTTTCCATATTTAGTGATTCACAAGTGTTTATTTGCAGTTGTGAACGGCATTATGGGATGTTGATCTCTGCTCTGTCCACTTTTAATGATGAAAAATCAACTGTGCAGTTTAACAAAGTGAGTTTTATTGACATATTTGTAAATAATAGAATGCATAACAAATAATATCTAGATAGATAAGTTCGTAAAAGAGCAGAAGGTATACTGCAGTTTATTACAAGGTTTCTGTAGCGTAATATACAACACCAATCAGACAATACAGCACTGCAGACTATTAAACATGTTCATAAAAGTCACTTTTTCCAACTTCTCAAGGTTTAAAGTTGTTGGAAGAAGGATCCAGATCCCAAAATTCAGTTCTAAAGCAGAAATAAACAGGGAAAAATAAATAAATACATCACAAAATAGAGAAAACTGATCATTTATGGATGTTTTTGACAGTGTGGCCGGCTCACTGTGGTTTCGTCCCAGCTGGCCGTTGCTGAAGTGGTTTTGGACACTGGCCACTGTTTGTGAGCCGGCCGCAGCTGCTCTCTCTAGTGAAGCTGTTTCCAGACTCATATTCTGGCACGTCTGACGCTCAAACATGTCTTCTATCAGAGCTGAGCAGTTGCCTTCATGCATGAGAGCACATCTAGTGTAAAAAAAAAAAGGCGAGGACTGGGTTTGGGGAAAGCCCAGTTTAGGACTCTCTATTAGAGCCAGATGCATGTTATACAGCACACACACAGTTGATGTCAGAATTATTAGCCCCCACTGTATATTTTTTCCTTCAACTTCTTTTTATTGGAGATTTTTTTCAGCACATTTCTAAACATAATATTTTTAATAACACATTTCTAATAACTGATTTATTTTATCTTTGCCATGATGAGAGTAAATAATATTTGACTAGATATTCTTTAAGATACTAGTATTCGGCGTATTTAAAGGCTTTAAAGCAAGTTAGAGTAATTAGACAAGTCTTTGTATAACGATGGTTTGTTCTGTAGAAAATCTAAAACAAATATTGTTTAAGGGGGCTAATGATCTTGACCTTTAAATGGTTTAAAAAAAATTAAAAACTGCTTTTATTCTAGCTGAAATAAAACAAATAAGACTTTCTCCAGAAGAAAAAAATATTATCAGACATACTGTAAAAATTTCTTTGCTCTGTTAAACATCATTTGGGAAATATTTTAAAAAGAAAAAAAATCAAAGGGGGGCTAATAATTCTGACTTCAACTATATATTGTCCACTGCATTATAAATAACCAAGAAACACGGCAGCATTTTTGTTATTTAATTGTATATATTTAATTATGTTACCAGGTTTCTGCTTGCGATATCTGTAACATTTATGCATTAATTATAGGAAAGCATAAATGCTATACACGGTCAGCAACACTAAATGCATGTGCATACATCTTCCTCCTGACTAGAAGCACATTTCTCAGCGGCTCATTATGTTTTATTCAGGGGACGATAGAAATGAATATATTTTTGATGAAAAATCTCTTTCATTTCCCTTAATAAATCATCAGCCTGTAAAAGCTTAAGGAAAACCAGCAAAACTGAGCAGAGAAACACTGCAGTGACTTACATTTAGACACTGTTATTATTAATTATATATATTTGTACTATTATATATTTGCAATAAACTAAACTTCATTTCAAATGGTTCTAAAACATGTTTTATAGGTTTAATTATATGCAGTTTTTAATTTGATTGTGTCTTTTTTACAGAAATGTTATTTTTAAATATGTAAACCTATTTTTTTAAAAAAAACATTGCATTTCTCTATATAAACCATCCCAAACCCCTACACCAATATTTAATTACATTTACTAACAACCCAAGCTATTTTTAATCAGATTGACAAAAAATCATACAAATCATTTATTTATTAAACTTTATTGTATTTACTAACATCCAAAGTTATTTTTAAACATGTTTGCTGTAGACCGACAACAACAAAATAATACAAATAAATAATTAAAGAAAAGAAAAATGTAAATTAAAATAAATAAATACATTATTATGTATTGTATTTATTTTTAGAAATGTATTATTATTTATTTTTTATTTACTAACATCCCAAGTAAATTTTAAATATGTTTTCTGCAGATTGACAGTCATACAAAAATAAACTAAATAATCGAAAAATATATAAAGAAACAAAATAATTAAATACAGCAAAATGTTTATTTTTACACATTTATTTTTAAACTAACATTATAAATTATTTACTAACATCCCAATTTATTTTTAAACATGTTTGCTGCATACTGACTACAAAACACATTCATATAAATAAATAAATAAATAAATAAATAAATAAATAAATAAATAAATAAAGAGTTCAGATGCAAAAACCTAAATGCCATCTGAAATTTTCTCCTAAAAAGTTTTTTCAGCCTTATAAGTTTGTTCAGCTATTTTACTTTAGATAAAAATTATAACTGAGCAGAGTATTTTATAATTATTTATTTGTATTTTTTTGTGTTAATGTGTGTATTATTACTTGTTTTTTGGTTACTAACATCCCAAGTTATTTTTAAACATGACAGCAACAAATTAATACAAAAATAAATAAATAATAGAAACTGTTTAATAAAATAAAATAATTAAATGCATGCAACAATTTTATTTTTATTGCATACATTATTTACTAACTTTATACCTTATTTACTAAGATTCCAAGTTATTTTTAACATGTTTGCTGCAGACTGACAACAACAAATAAAATAAATAAATAAACAAATAAATAGATGATAGAAAAATGTATAACAAGATAAAACAAATGCATGCATAGAAAATTTTAATTTTATTTATTTTTAAAAGTGTATTATTATTTATTAACATCCCAAATTATTTTTAAACATGTATATAATTATTTATATTTGCAATAAACTAAACTACATTTAAAACGGTCCTAAAACATGTTTTATAGGTTTAATTTAGTTTCTAATTTGATTATTTATTAGTGTTTTATTGTAGAAATGCAATGTTTTTATGTAAACATATTTAAAAACATTGCATTTCTCTATACAAACCACCCCAAACCCCCATCCTAATATGTATTTTTTTAGTTTAGCAAAATCCCAGGTTATTTTAAACATGTTTGCTGCAGATAGACAACAACAAATTTATACAAATAAATAAATAAACTAAAAAATACAAAGATGTATAATAAAATAAAATATTTAATGCATGCAACAATTTTATATTATTATTATTATTTATTTAAATTTTTGTGTTAATGTATTATTACTTCTTTTTTGTTTACTTGCATCCCAAGTTATTTTTAAACATGTAAAAAAACATTTTAAACAACAAATAAATGCAAAAATAAATAAAGAATAGAAACTGTATAATAAAATAAAATAATTAAATACATGCAACAATTTGATTTTAATTGTATACATTATTTATTAACTTTATACATTATTTACTAAGATTCCAAGTTATTTTTAACATATATGCTGCAGACTGACAAAAATAAACAAATAAATAAATAAATAAATAAATGAATAAATAAATGAAAGAAAAATGTATAACAAAATAAAATAAATACATGCATAGAACTTTTTTTTAAGTGTATTATTATTTCTTATTTACTAACATGCCTAGTTATTTTTAAACATGTTTGCTGCAGATTGGCAACAACAAATTAAATAAATAAATTAATTAATTAATTAAATAAAGTAATAGCAAAATTATATATTTATTTCTATTATTTTTATTTACTAACATCCTAAGTTATTAGCTAAGCATATTTGCTGCAGACCTCCCCCTTCCACTGTACACTTATGACTAGCTTATGTGTGTTTTCCAGACTGGCGTGAGAGGAAAACTTCAGACTTCTCCCAGAAAAATGGTAAACACTGCTCTGAGTGATGAGGAAAAGGGCATTCAAGACAAGGAAAGCAAAGAGGAATCCATTCTGGCTATGCTGGGAATCATCGGGACCATCCTCAACCTACTGGTCATCATCTTTGTGTACATTTACACGACTCTGTGATGCAAATCTGAACTTCGTGATGATCCTGGCATTAAAAAAGCAGGCCGATCCACCAGGGACCCACAGAAACATGCGCTCAAATGCAGAAACACGGACAGCAGATTCCCTTCAAACACAGATGAGTCCGTGGGGAACTTCATAACTTGTAAATATGCACGCTATTTACTCATTTCCGCCTGCGATCCGGAGAAACGGGACCATTTTTATGCATGGCTCAGTTCTGATCCGAATAGCTGTTTTTAATAGCAAACCTACAGTATAGCGATTTCTTACTCTACTTACTTGACTATGAGAGTTCAAGTTTTTCAGGAGACATGTTCTCCATGTTTCAGGTTTCCTTAAAACTTTGCTGTTTACAGTATTAAAAATATGCTAACACTTTAGATGATGGGGTGTTCGTAAGACTGTCATGAAACCTTTATAATAATACATGTGAAGGAGATTTTACGCATGATTCTAACATGAATCTATGAATCTACAGTAACTTAATGGCTGCAGCTCGCAGTAACTTACTGTAAATCAATTACGGCTCAAATTGGTCTTGCTGTATATGTATTTACAGCCCTGTATATTTTTACTGTAAAATATACAGTGATTTTCACATTGCAAGTAACATTGCATAACTGTCCTACAGTAAAACACAGTTCATATTACAGTAAAACGCTGTATAATTTACAAAAATTGTTAAGAGTGTGCAGTTATGAAATTCATTCATTCATTCAATTTTTTTTTCGGTCTAGTCCCTTTATTAATCCGAGGTCGCCACAGCGGAATGAACCGCCAACTTATCCAGCACACTTTTACGCAGCGGAAGCCCTTCCAGCTGCAACCCATCTCTGGGAAACATCCACACATACATTCACACACACACACAAATGGACAATTTAGCCTACCCAATTCACCTGTACTACATGTCTTTGGACTGTGGGGAAAACCAGAGCACCTGGAGTTAACCCAGGGAGAACATGCAAACTTCACACAGAAACACCAACTGACCCAGCTGAGGCTCGCAGCAGCGACCATATATATATATATATATATATATATATATATATATATATATATATATATATATATATATATATATAGTGTGGCAGGGCATATATATATATATATATATATATATATATATATATGCCCTGCCACACTATGAAGGAAACTCATTTCAGCCGCTTGTATCCGAGACCTTGCCCTTTCAGTCATGACCTAAAGCTCATGACCATAGGTGAGAGAACGTAGGAACGTAGATTGACCAGTAAATCGAGAGCTTTAAAAGTAGCACCAGTATCGAAATAATCCCCAAACGATACCTAACCTTATTCATGACAATCATGTTCATGACAGATTTATGACAAGTTATGTTGTCTTGATAACGTCAAGTGGTCATGACCCTGACAAAAACAAAAACAATTATGTCAAATGATGACAAATGTGCATTTAAAATGACATAACGGCTCGATCAAATGACGCTTAATAACATAAGCATGTATAAAATCCAGCCTGATCTCACAAGGAAACGTAAGTATTTTACGTTTCGTCAGTTTATTGACTAATTTGTACGAATTCGTACGAGTTGAGTCATATGAAAATGTACGATTTTAAAAAGGAGGCGTGGCACCCAACCCCACCCCTAACCGTCATTGGGTGATAAACAAATCATACTAAATTGTACGAATTAGATCGTACAAATTCGTACAAATTAGCCACTAAATCAAAAAGTTACGAATTGCCGTAAGATTGCTTCGTAAAATTTCATTCACATTATAAATGTTCATGACACACCCTCTTCAAGTAAAGTGTTACCAACTAAGTGTATTATTAGACCTGAGAGATTTATGATGGATTTTGTCATGATGCATTTTAATACGTTCTTGAAAAATTTGATGTTGTTTGTACAGCGGATGTAAACATGCTAAGCTATTTCAGGCACTATGGAATCAGTGCTTTTACCTGTTTATTAACATTGAACATTTATTTGCTGATCTTCTTGTTTGGTATTGTTTTGTGAAGGTTACAGCAGTTTTAGGATATGTGGGGTGATATATTGAACTTTTCTGTGAAGGTGTTTATGTTTGTGCATTTTAAATATATGACTATTTCCCATTGTTTTCAAAGAGAGGTCTGAGAAATCTCATCCCTGACTGTTGAATATAATATATTCATCATACAGTGTATTCAGACATTGCCTTAATATCGACCTGCGCATTCATATCTGCATTATTAATCATTTCAGATTCAATATTCAGTTGCTAAGTGAAAAATCCATTTTCTTTTCCACAATGAAATGTACAACATCAAATATTAAAGTATTAACCTGAAGCAAGTCTGTTAATCAATGTTCTCATTAATGATTCTTTAAATTACAACAATCTTTTACATCGCAATTTGTGCAGAAAACTACATTAAAAATTATGCCCTGCATAAAGTTCCACATATCAGAGAGCAAAGTTTGGCGAAAATGACGATATACAGACATATCGCACTGCTACGAGTGTGATATTGAGTTCAATAATAATTCAAAGGCACATTCATGTTTATAAAAAAGAAAATCAAATCAAGCCCTTTTGTATGAGGAACTACTTTCTTTCGACATTTCTGCATACATCTGTAGCTGATAAGCAGAAACCGTTGCAAGTATTTGAATGAATCTATAGCGTGATGTCTAAAATGATGACAAAACAGCAGATTTTGCTCACATTTTAAGATTTTAGGGCTGAACGGCATGAAAGGCCATCAGTCTACAGAGATTTTTCAGTATTTCTCTGTTGCAATCAGGAGATCAATATAATCAGCCATGAAAAAGCCAAAGCAAACACTACCTGATTACTATGGTATAAATACAGCACTACAACATACAAAAGAGAGAGATCAACTTTACTTTCCTGATTAATAATGATTTGTTCTGGTACAGAAAACTCTGTTTTTCTCCGCCAAGAACTTATAATGCGGTCTCTGTTCCTATCTTGTGACGACCATCAACCTTTGCT